CCACTCTCCTTAGATGCTATGCCATCTTCTCTTCTCTTTTCTCCTCATGAGTCCCACAACTCTCCTCCTGTTTCTCACTCTCTCAGTTGAGGACCTCATCATTTACTTTACTTAGAAAATTGAGGTTACTTGTTCTCAGCTCCATCTTCTTCCCTTCTCAAACTCCCTGGACATCATCATCTACTCTCTTCTCTTTTCCTTAAGACTCTTCCCTCTACATTACCCTTGATCCCATCCTCTCCTGTTTTCTCCATGAGATCCCTCTTCTGTCTTCAATCACCCCCTTCTCTTTGTAATCTTCAAACTTTCCCAAGGTGCTGGCTCCTTCTCTGCTTCCTTCAAAGATTCCCAAGCCTTCCCATCCTTAAACAAACAAAGAAACATTTCAGTAGACCCTACTATCCTTCCAATTTATCATTCTGTATCTCTTCTCTCTTTCTCAAACTACTAGAAAAGGCTGTCTATGCCGGGTGCTTTCAATTTTTGTTATCTCACTCCTCAGTCCTTTGCCCTCTGTCTTCTGACCTTATCATTTTAACTGAAATTGCTCTCTCTATTTCTCTCTCTCTCTCCCTCTCTCAACCCTTCCCACCACAAATCTCGTCGTCTTTTCTCAGTCCTCTCCTTTTTCATCTCTCAATTGCATTTGGCACTGTTGGCCACTCTCCTCCTGGAAAATTTCATCTTTCTAGGTTTTTGTGACAATATTCTCTCCTGGTTCTCCTATTTGTCTGAGCACTTTTTCTCAACCTCTGACTCAGTCATTATCCATAGACATTTTTTTTCTCTCTTGGTGAGCTCACCAGCTTTAATGGGCTTAATATCTCTATACAGATGACTTGGAAATGTCTTTCCTAAGCTTCAATCCCAAATTACTCCCTCTCTTCCCCTCCCCTTCTCTTCCCTTTCCTTCTTTCCCTTTTCCTTCCCTTCCCCTATCTTGTCTAGGCTGAAAGGCCAGGAACTATTCATAGGTTTGGTCCCACTGCTGATTGGTAATGGAGTGTGGCCTGCTCTATTTCCATTACAGGCAAGTTTACTCCTCCTTAGACAACTTGGGGGCCCTCTGCTCCTCAGGACTCCCTGCATTAATGCCCAAAATATTTCTGATCTACATCACCTAATGTCCCTCCAAATTCCTGAGCTCAAGATGTCTGCCAGCTCCAGCCTCCCAAGAGTGAAAATTACAGGTATGTACCAATAAGCCCAACCTGACTGGATATGTTAAACTGGATGTTCCACAGATATCTGAGGCTCAGCATGTCCCCCAAAAGCATCATTTTCTTCCCCTCTCCACCAAACCCAGTCCTCTAACAAACTTCCTATTTTTGCTGAGGACACCACCATTCTTCCTAGATCCCAAGTGCTTAATCTCAGTGTTATCTTCAATTCCTCCCCCACCTCCCTCACCATTTCTTTCTCCACAGCATCTCTCTTATATGTTCCTTTCTCCTCACTCACATAGCCCCTGCCCTACTTCAGGGCTTATCATCTTTTACCCAGACTATTACAACAGCCTCCTAAATGTGTTCACTGCCTCATCTCTCTTTCTTTTTTTTTATATGAAGTAATTGGGGTTAAGTGACTTGCCCAGAGTCACACAGCTAGTGAGTGTTATGCGTCTGAGGCCAGATTTGAACTCAGCCCCTCCTGACTCAAGGGCCAGTGTTCTATCCACTATGCCACCTAGCTGCCCCCTGCCTCATCTTTCTACTATAATCCATCTTCCTTTAACCATGTCACTCCCCTACTCATCAACTCACATAGCTCCCCCTTACCTCCTCGCTGTGGATTTTTCCAGACTCCCTTTCCTATACTCTCTAAACCAGCCAAACTGGCAATCTGTTCCCCTCTGACTTGCATGCTTAGATGCTCCCCCGTGACTGCAGTGCATTTCTCTTTACTTCACTTCCTTTATGAGTCAGCTCAAGCATCACTTTTTACATGAAGCCTTTCCTGATCTCAACTGCTAGTGCCTTCCCTCTATATCAACATTGTATTCAAAACCTTATATTTATGTTTTATTGTGTGTGTGTGTGTGTGTATTAGCTATAGTCAAGGTATGAATCAGGATTCCACAATTCAAATTCCTGCTCAAATACTTACCAGCTGTGTAATGCTGGACAAGTCATTTAACCTTGATCAGCCTCAGTTTCCTCATCTGTAAAATGAGGATAATAAATAGCACCTACTTCCTAGAGTTGAGAGGATCAAATGAGATAACATGTATTAAAGCATTTTGCAAACCTTAAAATGCTATATAAATACTAACCTATTTATTATTTCTGTACTACATGTTGTTTCCCCCACTCCCACAGAATATATGTGCTTTAGGAGGTGAGATTGTTACTTTTTTTTTTTTTTTGCAAACACAAAGCCTACGGCAATGCCTAGAACATAGTAAGTACTTAGTAAATCCCTTTTGATTGATTGATGCACTCTACCTTTCAGACAAATTGTCCAACTTAATGTTCCTAGAATTCAGTATTCCATTTCTAACCTTTGTGCAGGCTTTCCCATATGCCTAGAATGCCCTACCTTCTTACTCTCACCTCTTTGGACACATAGTGTCCTTCAGGTCTCAACTTATGTACTACCTCCTGTAGGAAAATGTTAATGATCTTCCTAGTTGTTATTGCTTTCTTCACCCTTAGGATTATCTTGTATTTATTTATATGTATATATGTATATATTTATATTATATGTCTTTTATATGTAAACACCCAGCTGGAACCTGGAAAGGATTGCTTTTCATTTTCTGTCTTATAATGCACTTAGGGGCTTAGGGGAAGCCACAGGAACTATTCTTCCCTTCCCTACTCAACAATTACTTAGTAGATCTGACAACATTCTAAGCATTGAAGACTTGTTATATGATCAAAGGAACCCATACATACAAAAGTATGTACACCAATTCTTTTTGTAGGGGCAAAAAATTGGAAATTGAAGGGATGCTCATTAATTGAGGAATGGCTAAACAAATTACGGCATATGAATATGATGGAACACTATTATGCTATAAGAAATGTTGATGGGGATAGTTTCATGAAAACCTGGATAGACTTGTATGAACTGATACAACGTGAAGTGAGCAGAATCAAGAGAACAAAGAAAATAATGACAACCATATTGTAAACATAATCAACTCTGAAAGACTTAGGAATTCCAATCAACACAATGACCAACCAAAATTCCAAAAGAATAATGATGAAATAGGCTACCCATCTCCAAGTACAGAGCTAACAGAATCAAGAGTACCAACTGAAGTATATTTTCTTTTCTTTTCCTTTACTTTCTTTTCTTCTTTTCTTTTCTCTTCTATTCTTTCTCTCTCTTTCTTGCTCTTTCTCTCTCAGTCTCTCAGTCTATCTTCTCTATTTCTGCTTTTCTCTTTCTGCCTGTCTCTCTCCCTGACTCCCTTTATTCGTTACTTCCTTATTCTTGGCCATGGCTGATGTGGTAATTTGTTTTGTATGACTATACATATTTGTATTGGGTTTATTTTTCATGTGATCTCAATGGGGGGAGACAGGGAGAGGAGAGGGAGAGAATTTGGAACAGAAAATAAAATAAAACTGAATTTAAAAAAGAAACAGAAAAAAGACTGGTTATCTGAGAACTAGGATAGACTGGAAGAAAGAAAGGAGAGAAAGAAATAATGTGGATGAGTTATAACTACCACTAAGAGGCAAAGTGGAGTTTGAAACCATGAGGTCAGGGAGCTGCCTTTAAAATATAGTGTAGAAAATTGGAACACTAATGCATTGTTGGTGGAGTTGTGAACTGATCAAACCATTCTGGAGAGCAATTTGGAACTGTGCCTAAAGGGCTATACAAATGTGCACACCCTTTGACCCAGCAATAGCACTTTTAGGCCTGTATCCCAAAGAGATCATAAAAATGGGAAAAGGACCCACATGTACAAAAATATTTATAGTAGCTCTTTTTGTGGTGCAAAGAATTGGAAACTGAGGGGATGCCCATCAACTGGGGAATGTTTGAACAAGTTGTGGTATATGAATGTAATGGAATACTATTGTGCTATAAGAAATGATGAACTGGCAGACTTCAGAAAAACCTGGAAAGACTTGTATGGACTGATGCTGAGTGAAGTGAGCACAACCAGGAGAACATTACACATAGCAACAGACACGTTGTGCAACGACTGACATTGATAGACTTAGTCCTTCTCAGCAATGCAAGGATCTAAGACATCTCCAAAGGTCTCATGATGGGAAATGCTATCCACATCCAAAGAAAGAACTATGGAGTTTGAATGCAGATTGAAGCATACTATTTGCTATTTTTTTTCTTCTGTTTTATTGTTTCTTCTTTCTGATGGTTCCTCCTATTGGTTGTAATTCTTCCTTACAACATCACTTATATGAAAATATGTTTAATAGGAATGTATATGTATAGCCTATATCAGATTGTTAGCCATCTTTGGGAGGAAGGGAGGGAGGGAGGAGAAAAATTTAAAACTCAAAAGCTTATGGAAGTGATTATTGATAAATCAAAATAAATTAATAAAAAAAAAATTAAACAGTATAGAGACTGTAAGGTTTAATGCACATGAGTAGTAAAGAGAATTGCTCCTGCCTGCTTTATGGCAGGGGGCACCTTGGGTAAGGATAGAAGGAGAGTGCTGGGAGATGCAGAAAGAGATGATGGAAACATGCATCCAGAAAGAAGGCAAATGGGGTGCTATATGATCTGGAAGTTCATTTGGGTTCCCATAGGACAATGAGTCTCAGATGTGCCTTGCAAAGTCCTGATCTTAACATTACCCTGAAGCCCAAGGCCCCTGTGAGATGTGATAGGGGGAAGTTAACACTGCCATCCAGCCAGGAAAGAGCAATCCCTTCCTTGAATTCTGCCTCCCCAACATGGAAACGATCAGGCCTGATATTCATGCAGATGGAAGAGAACCGAGTTTGAAAATCAAAATTCTGCACAGAGATGGAGAAGGGGAAAAAAGAAAAACCTTTTCTGGAACAAACCTTTAAGTTCTGCAGCAGGAACTGTTCTTTCTGAAGTGGTACATTTGATCTGATTCAAGGCATTCAACAACTCCAGAGATCTTTTTTTATTTTCTTCTTGTAAAAATAACAGTTTTTCCTGAAACTTCAAAATCTGGTTTTTATAAGTTTTGGCATCATTTCCTGCAAAAAACAAAAATGGAGATTTTTCTCTCCTCTGGAACAACAAAAACAATGAAAAATCCAAATTATATTCTCAACTCTATATCTAATTAGATTCTGCATCTTTATTCTAATCCTCTCTTCAACACTTTCCTTTACTACCTTGTAACCCAATTTCTATATTCTAAAATTTCGCATTTCAGTATTCTACTGAAACTAACTCATCCAGGGTCACCTTCACTCTCAGTTCTTATCTTTCAAGACCTTTCAGTTGCATCTGACGTGGCTGACCATACCCCAGACTTCTGAAACATTCTCCACCCTTAGCTTTAAAATAACACTGTGCTCTATTGATTCTCCCAGCTTTCTCTCTGATTGCTTTTACCTTTTAACCTTGGGCATTTTTTCAAGGTTTAACACTTCTACAGAAGTGTTTCAAACTCCACAGTTCTTTCTTTGGATGTGGATAGCATTTTCCATCATGAGACCTTTGGAGATGTCTTAGATCCTTGCATTGCTGAGAAGGACTAAGTCTATCAATGTCAGTCATTGCACAATGTGGCTGTTACTATGTGTAATGTTCTCCTGGTTCTGCTCATTTCACTCTGCATCAGTCCATTCAAGTCTTTCCAGGTTTTTCTGAAGTCTGCCAGTTCATCACCACACTCACACTCTCTTGGATCTCATTCATTCTCATAGTTCTGACCACAATCTACCTGCGTGTAAATTTTGCTACTTACATCTACACCTGGCTTCTTACCCTTGTTCCAGTATCATATTTCTAACTCCTTAGAAGGCATCTCCACTGAAGTGTCCCTATGACACCTGAAAGTCTCCCTAAGTCAAAATCTTCACTACAAAAATTGTACTCCTTTCCCATCTCCATTAGTGTCAATAAGGATAGTCATCCTCCAAGATCCTAGAATTATATCTTGGTGTTAGTTTTTATTCCTCCTTTATTCAGACTCTCATCACATCTCTGAAGTACTTCAGAAGGAGCTGGTGGAACAGTAGATGGAGTGCTGGTCCTCAAGTCAAGAAGACTGGAGTTCAAACCCAACCTCAGGTACTTACTAGCTGTGTGACCCTGGACAAGTTTGCCTCAATTTCCTCAATTGTAAAAGAGATAATAACAGCACCTACGTTCTAAAGTTGTAAGGATCAAATGACATAATATTTGGAAAGCACATAGTAGGTACTATATAAATACTTATTCCCTTTTCCTTTTTCCATTAGTCTCCTCCTAAGTGGTCTCCTTGCTTCCAATTTCTGCATCCAACACATAACTCCTAATTCCTTCTTCATACATTTCAGATAATCTTCCTTAAACTCTTGCTTTTTTCATGACCTTTCTAAGCCTCAGTTTCAATAAAAACAATGACTGCAATACCACAAACAAAAAGAATATTAAAATGTTACCACTGAGTCCAGATTAATTGCAATGACTAACCTTGGTCCCACAGAAAATAGAGGGCAACACACCTCCTTTCTGTCAGTAGAGAGGTGGAGGGCTATGGGTATAGAATGTTGCAGAAATGGTTTTGCCAATTGGGTTTTGCTCAAATATTTTTAATAGAGGATTGAATGAGAGATGTACGTTGGGAAATGAGGATGATATAAAAAGTATAAATATAAGTTAATTAGGAAAAATGAGGGAATAGGCCTAGATGACCTCTAAGACCCCATCTAGCTCACATTCTATGACTGTCCTTTGCCTACTCAAAACTCCTCATTGAGTCTTTACTTCCAATCTTTTATTTATTTTTTATTTTATTTTATTCTGAACTTAAGAAATAAAAACAGAATTTCCATAACATAGTAGAACAGGAAAAAAAAAAAGATTGTATGATACTAACTTTTTTCCTTTCTTTTTCTTCCCTCTCCTCCCTTCCCCACCCTAGAGATGGCTACCATCTGTACATGTGTGTGTGTATGTGTGTGTGTGTGTAAAACATCATTTTGTACATACTTCTATTTGTCAGTTCTTTCTCTGGATGCAGATAGTGTCTTCCTTTAGATGTCCTTTGTGGATAATTTGGGTATTTATAATAGTCAAAGTTAGTCATTCAAAATTGTTCTTAAAACAATATTGCTATTACTGTATACACTGTTCTCTTGGTTCTGCTCATTTTGCTCTTCATTATTTTGTGCAAGCCTATCCATGTTTTCATAAGATCATCAAGCTCATCATTTCTTATAACATATCACAACCATATACCACAACCTGTTCAGCTATTCCCCAACTGATGGCCATCTCCATAGTTTCTAGTTCTTTACCACCACGAAGAGAGCTGCTCTATTTTTAACATAAAGATTTTTTTTCTTTTTTTCCCTGATCATCTTGAAAAACAGAACTAGTAGTGGTATTGCTGGATCAAAGGGTACAGGCAGTCTAACAACTCTACAGGCATAATTACAGATTGCTCTACAAAATGGTTGGATCAGTTCACAACTCCACCAACAGTGAATTAGTGACCCAATTTTTTCACACCACCTCCATTTGTTATTTTCCCCTTCACTCATTTTTGCCAATCTAATAAGTATAAAATGATATCTCAAGTTTGCTTTAATTTGCATTTCTCTAATCAATAATGATTTAGAGCATTTCCTCATATGGTCTACAAATTGTTTTGATTTCTTCATCAGAAAACTTCCTGTTCGTATCTTTTGACCATTTGTCAATTAGAGAATGACTCATATTCTTATAGATTTGACAAAGTTCTTTATATATCCCAGTCTTTTAAAATCTAAATTCCTCAGTCTAGTAACGTGTTCTACACAAACTTCCTTCTGCTCATGCCTTGAAAGCAAATTATCACTTTATGTTTCTCAGTTTTCCGTTCCAATCCTTCTTTCCAGCCCTCAACAAGCAGGAAAACACAATACACTCTACTTCTGTAGATGCCATTTCCTCCATCTAAATAATGCCTCCCCCCACCCCTCCAAACACACACAAATCTTTCAAGAAAATCTGATTCAAAGTTCTCTACCCTGAAGATCAGGGATCAATTCCACTCACACCTGTACTTTATTATAAATCTCCTCAGTATTTACATATTTGTCTATTTTCTATGGTTTTTTGTTATTAGTAATTGCTTTAAAACTATTTCTTCTGAATTATCTCATGACACCTCTATTAAGCTCCTCCAGGGTGAAATCCATGTTTATCATTTGACATGATTAAACAAAAACCATCAAACTTTACCATATGGTAAAAAGCTGTGGATTTCTCAAATCAGGCTATTCATGTTGGCAGCTAGTCTAAGTTTGCTGTGGGATGGAAGTTTCAAGATTTCCTCCAAAATACTTTTTCTTCTTCCTTTATCAAAACTCTAAGTGAATACAAATATTCTAAACAGACTCTGCAGTACACACCTAGCTCTTGTACCCTTTTCAACATGATCTGCCTCTAAGACAGGAGGGACCTCCTGTGGTCCATGAACTTGCATAGGGAAAAAAAATTACATCTTTGGGGGCAGTTAGGTGGCACAGTGGATAGAGTGCCAGCCCTGAAGTCAGGAGGACCTGAGTTCAAATCTGACCTTTGACTAAACACTTGACACTTATTACCTATGTGACCCTGGGCAAGTCACTTAACCTCAATTGCCTTAAAAAAAATTACATCTTTATTTCAACATAACCAGTTTCCTTTATAGCACTATTTCATAGTATCTTATTGTGTACATTTCAAAATATTATTCTTAGAAGGCTTAACCAGGCTAACAAAGGAGTCCAGGACACAAAAAGGTGAAGGACCTTTTCTAAGGTTTTTCCAAGCTAAGTTTGTTTCAGATGCTGCATTGAATTGACTGCATTTTAAAAACTTTTGCCACAAAAAGAGGACAAGTTGAATGAATTATCTCCAATTCTTTCACCATCTACCAAAAGGCTGATGTATGATGATACAGGCTATTAGGCCAAACCCAGAGAAGTGAGAAAGGCCATGGAGAGAGACAGCAAAAATGACCAAAAAGATGAATTTCATTAGTGTAGACTTGGACTCCAAAGGAATTCTATTTAATCTAATCTACTCATGACTGGTATATTCAAAGGGACCTTAATTCTGCTTACAAATTATGGACTGATACATCTGTAAGAGGCTCTAAGTTCTTCAGTAAAAAATCACATAGCCCCTAACTTTCACAGTCCATCCAGAACTGGCCGGTTAACAGTATAGCACTTAAATATACAGGTGGCTTTATTTCACCCTAGCCAGGACAAAGCAGGGAGACACAATATAAATGTCTTATTTTCGTCTTGGATAAGTCCAGCAAATTACTTTGTGTATCAGCAATGAAGCTTTATATTCCCTGAAATCCTAGAACTGACACAAAGTACTTAATAAATGTGAACTGAATTGAGAAAAAAAAAACTAACAGACAATTCTGGTAAAAAAAAATAGGACAATTTTCTAGGGCAATGGGCTTACGTATCACAGAAGGCATACACATTTTCCCAGAAGGCTTCAAGAAGTCTGCTAACAAGGGGAGTGGAGCTGTGAGCTGTGGCTAAACTCCGTCCCTAATAACGAATGGGTGAAGCCTAGCTTAGGTGAGACAAGGAGCCAGAAATCAAAATAAAATCTTCCACAGAAATCAGAAAGGCATATTTCAGTGGGTCTTTTAGTCAGAAGTCTCCATCTTTTCCACATGGTTAAGAACAATAAAATGCTACAAAAGACATTCGCACCAATACAACAAATAACTAGAAACAGAAAGAACATATCTTCAACTGTGCTCTCTGCTGTGTGGCAAGCCTTCTCCTCCATTCCCTAGTTCCAATTATTGCTTAGTTATTCAAACCTTATCAACATGCCTTGTACAGTGACTTTTACTTTTTTCCTCCAGCTGCCAATGGTTGCCTCGATTACAGGAGATGACTCAACCTACTCCTCTGCTACAAAGAATGAGCTCCATTAGCCTCACAGATCCCAATCACCATCCTTCTCATAATCACTCATTCTTTCCTCTGTCCTTCTGGCCTCTGATCCTCCATGAGAGCACAAACACTCTTGACTACCA